ACTTTTCTTTATAATGCAATAAAATCTGGCGAGCAGCTATTTAAACGATCAAACACTTCGTTTGTTTATTTGTGGCTTGAAGTTAGGCTCGCAGAAAATGCCGTTCATGGGTTAAATTTAGTAGGAATAACACAACCTGTGACGTAGGCTATAGTATACCCAATTGTTAAATAACGGACATGATTTATTTAGCCATGATTGATAGTGCTAGGAAATAACAATTATTTCCAATCAATCATCGGGGCTGGTGAGCAGCACCGAACAGTGGGCTTAGTCCCCTAGTTAATATTAATAGTTTAGAAATATCAATTTTTGAAAAAGTGACCACCATTAAAAATACTACTTCTGATTATAAAATGTCCCTATTTTTGCCCAATTTCGAAAAGATGTTTTTTAAAATGATGCGTATGTATTGATGCAAAAGTGATGCAAATGCTAAAAATGATGCTAAATGATGTATTTTCAGTGTGCTGCTTTGCATGCGGTCGCTCAGACCGCCGACTTCTTGGAGGAGACCGCCGTCCGAAAAATGGTGCTGCCAAGAACCAAGCAAGTCTTTGAAAACAACACCGGAATCAAAGTATGTTCAGTTTTTTTCATTCTCTGTTCATAAAATTGATTCATTTAAATACAAACGAGGGTAGTTCGATTCCATAATTTTGTACCTTAACATGCGAAAAACAATGGCAATATTTAATTTAGATTTTTATTTCAGTTTAACAAATATCTTAATGTTTCTGAAGATTTTATGGTACTAATCGTGTTAAAGGGATCATATGTTGGCGACTGTTTTTTTGAGTTGTCGCCAACACGAGCATAAGTATAGACAAATAAGAGCTGAAATAACTCGGTGTATTTCATGTTTTAACCCCTTAACGATAAGTTAATTTTCAAGAAAACGGTCATAAAAATGCGTATTTTTTATCCCTGAAAATTATGTAAAAATATGTGTATAGACAATATCTATATATGTATATATATTCATTTTTAATTTTTGATTTGTTTTTAGCTTGAAATTTTAAAAAATTAAATTTTTAGGAAAGGCTAATGTTGGTTTTCCAGCAAGCAAGGGAAGTATAAAAAATATGTGTTTTAAGCATTAAAAAAGAATTTTATTAAACTTACGTATAATATAAATAAAGATTAGTAATATTTTCTTGTGAGATAAATTTCAAAGCATGAGATAGAGAGGCCAACGTCACAATCTGGACAGTAGTACCGAGTTTCCTTCCTACATCTCTTATTGTTTTCATATCTTCTGGAGCAACAAAACTTTCAACAATTACCTTAAAACTATCCTGGTACTGCCATCTGGTGTGTAAAATGAGAAAAAAATGTCCTCCGGGTAAAAGAAATGAATTAGTTTTATTCTTATTGTCACGTTACTACTGGACATTCCAGCCCATAAATATCACGGGAGCGAGAAATAGAGGGCGAAACCTCAAACCCCGTCATTTTCACGGGAGCGAGAAGGAAGGGGTTAAATTGGAAAATATTTTCCTAAACGAATAAAAATTATTAACATTCGCAATAGAAACTCAGGGGATAGAGCGTTCGTCTTCAAACGGTGTTCGAATCCCAGCGAAGGCATGTCGATGCGAATTCCGCACCCAGTTCGCACCAACCACATTGCTGACGTAAAATATCCTCAATGGTTGACTTATCATGGGTTAGAGTCCCCTTGCCACCAGATCTAACCGTGGAATGTTTTCGTGGTTTTCCTCACCATGTAACTCAAAACATGTTTGTTCTATCAAAAAGTCCTCCACAAAGAAACATTTCTCCCAATACGAGGGTTACTATTTATATTTCTGGCCTAATAATGAAAAAACAAATATGTAGGATCGAAGTTGGTTTTATTGTTTTTCAAAATATTCTCCATGATGATCAATACACTTTTGCATGCGTTTGAACCAATTTTCAAAGCACTTTTTCCAGTCCGATTGAGGTAACTCCAAAACATGCGTTTTGAATGCATCAACCGCTTCTTCGGGGGTCGAAAATCGTTGTCCACGTAATTTATTTTTGATGTGTGGGAATAAGAAGAAGTCATTGGGTGCCAAATCAGGGCTGTACGGCGGATGACCCATCAGTTCGATCTTTCGCTCCGTCAGAAATGCCTTTGTTTGAGTCGATGTGTGAGAGCTCGCATTGTCATGATGAAGAATGATTCGCCTGTTCTTCTGCTTTTTTCGAATTTCTCCGATGACTTCTGGCAAACAAATGGTCGTGTACCATTCAGAATTGACCGTCCTGCGTTGCTCTAACGCCACTGTTGCCACATGACCGTTAATGCCGAAGAAACAGGCAATCATTTGTTTCGATGTGCTTCTTCCTCGAACAACTTTTGTTGGTTTTGCCTCGTCTTGGAAGACCCATACAGTTGATTGCTGTTTTGTTTCCGGCTCATATGCATAGATCCATGATTCGTCACCTGTGTAGATGTTATACACAGCCTTTGATGTACCTTGAACGTATTTTTCCAACATTTCCTTGCACCAATCGACACGAGCCTTTTTTTGAGCGTTTGTCAGATTATGCGGGATCCAACGCGAACAAATTTTTTTTACGCTCAAATGTTCATGCAATATTTTATTGATGCTAGTCATACTAATGTCCAAAGACGCCTCTATCTCACGGTATGTCACATGACGATCTTGCTTTATCAGTTCACGCACAGCATCGATCTTTTCTGGCACAACAACGGATTTTGGACGACCTGCACGGGATTCGTCCTGGATCGAACATCGACCACGATTAAATTCGTTATACCAATTTTTTACAGTGCTGTAGGATGGCGCTTTATCGCTGAATAAAGAATTAAGTTCATCGAAGCACTCTTGTCTTGACAATCCACGTCGAAAGTTATGAAAAATAATGGCACGAAAATGTTCACGATTCAATTCCATTTTTTGAAAGAGAAGAACTTTTCAATTTACTGTCAACAACACAAATGAAGCTATAATGGTAAATCGTCTGCTGAATTTATGTTTAAAAATATCAAACTTTCGATTAAAATCGTCTGCGGTCGCCTAGCAACACTTACTATTGCCAAGGCCAGAAATATAAATAGCAACCCTCGTACTTAACTCAGGAGTTTCTTTGTTTCTGTATTGAGTTTAAAATTACAAGGCTACAGATTTGAACATAAGTAGACGTAAACCCCTCCCCCCAAAAAAATTATGTTGGTTGTTCAATAGCGGTTATAAAATAAAACAAAATTCAGGTAATCAGTCGTTGTGGCGCAGGGGATAGAGCGTTTGCCTTCCAGTGAGGTAAACCAAGTTCGAATCCCAGCGATGACTGGCCGATATGAATTCCACTTTTCAACTTGCGCCGAACTTAGTGCTGACGTAAAATATTCTCAGTGGCAGACGGATCATGGGTTAGAGTCCCTTTGCCGTAGGACTAACCGGGGGGGGGGTTCGTGGCTTTCCTCTCTATGTAACGAAAATGATAAGTTACATGCTAAGTTCGCAAATGGTTAGTTCCATCAAAACGTCATCCAAAAAGGCAACCGATTTTAGTCATATAAAAACAATAAAGCAGTATAGAATCACCTGATAATTAAGATTTTACATAGAATCTTATAGTACGTCTAATAATTTGGCCAGGGGCTGTAGATCAGAACTTATGGAGGTGTTACGTTTTCATTTTGTGCACAGTTTATGCAATTTGTCTCATTTTTAGAACTTTTTTCGATGATTTGCAAAACTTAATCCTTATAGACATGTTTCAAGTTTCACCAAAGGCGTAATTACCTCCGACAAGCATATCTGCAATGAAACTCCATCAAAAAATACGCATAACAAAGTACTTTATAAAATCAATATTTTTAAGAATAAATTTAATCCGCTTACAATGTTTCGAGATCGATAAACTTTCTCTTTTTAGAAACAAATTTCGGAAAAATGTGGGTGGACGGACTGAACTGTTCGACGTTTAAATTTACTCTTGCATTTAATTCTGCTGGAATCTCTGCCCATATTAGGAAACGAACCCTTCTAATGTTTCTCTTTGCTTGCCTCTCCCCCCTCCCTCCTTTCTTACTTTTTGAAGAAAACTATTAGATGAAGAAAGACGTTTTCGATTTCTCTTTCAGTTTATCTTAAATTTACTCTTAGTAATAGTTTCGATTTTATTTATTTTTTTTTTCGAAATCTTCTCAAAAAGTAAGTTTATTTTAACTGTCTGAGTTTAGCTGTTGCCACTGAATAGTAACAAAAAGTAAAGGAACATTAGAGTGAAACTGAAAGTTATTATTTTTTTTACTCGACAACAACAAAGCGATTAATAAGCTTTTTTTAACGCATTCGTTTTACAAAACGAAATCATTTGTGTACAGACTAACGTATTTTAATTTGCTTAAAAAATGGCATGGCGATTTATTCAAATCATTTTATAATGATTATTGAATTCAATTAAAAATTAAAGAGAATTTTTTCGAAAATATAGTTTTATTTGCGACTTTGTTTGAGACAAACTATAGCTCATTCACCATAAGTTGGCATTTGGCTAAACCTCCTAGGACGCATAGCTCATTTCAGCGCGGGAGTAAGAAGAGAAACATCTCCGCGCTTGAAATTGAAACAACCCTTAATGTGTTCCAAACACAAACGGTGACTTCTTTTTCAGTTTCTTACATCGCTTTATCATCTGCTATTATACCTTTCGTTTCTCTAGCCAATTAAACATATTTTAAATTTAAAAACTGCTTAGTATATTATTATTAATAATTCAACCAAATCATTAGACTAACCAAATCATTAGACTTTTAATAATTACATGTTTTGCACGAGTTTATATACAATACTTTTATACTTAAAGAAACATGCAATGGGTTTTAATTCAAGAGATTTTTTTATATGCTTTCTATTTGTATTTATTTTTAACGTATTGCATTACAATGTTAACCCATTGATGCACGAACGTAAACAGGTGCAAACCGGTTTCATTTGCGTAAAAACAATAAAGCTGTAATGCTGTAAATCACTTGATAATTAAGAATTTACACAAAATCTTATAGTGCGTCTAATAATTTGGGCAGGGGCTGTAAATATGAGCCCTAAAAATAATTGGGCTAATATGAGATAGCAAATAACGATGATACGTTAATAATGTAGTTATGATTACAAGCCAATAATGGATTTAATACTAGGCACGATAATAATCGGTATAACAAGAGAAACGGTAATGACGTTCGTAAAATAAGATTATCTAAAGGAAGCTATTAATAATTTGAAATGGCACTTTTCCATAATTTCTTAGAATTACGAATCATATTACTTAAATACTTATTCTTAACACACTGAAATCAAAGGAAAATTAATACATGAACATTGAATAACCTTATATTTTTACAAGAAAAAATGACAGACACGTTTTTAAAATTTTGAATGCAATACTCAAGTAATAGCACTGATAAGATAAATGCTACTGATAAGGTTTTATTCGAAATTTTAGCGCTGATAGGAATATTAAGGAAAAAAATGAGTGTTGTAAGTCGTTTAAGCACAAAATGTAGCTTAATTACAGACTATAAAATTTAAGAAATGAATATTGCATGTTAATAGGAGACAGCGTTTGGAGCTAATGCTAAGCATAATTTTTAGTTTAAAACAAAGTCATATTAGTCATTAAAGTCATATTAGTTTAAAACAAAAAATGAAAGATTTTCAGAATTTTTATTGTGTTTTGAACATCAAAAATCTATTTTTTAATGTTTTACGACCTTATAAAAATATTAGTTTTATTAAATAAAAAAACATATAATCCTACTATACGCATTTTATAATTAATTTTAAAAAAATACAAAAACTAAATTAGGTAGTATTGATTTGTATGTATTTTATTCAATTAGCCTTTTTAACGTATTTTATCGTATCTTTTTCAATTCCTACTATTAGTTCACGCTCTCCCTCTATCTTGTTCAAATTTTCAATACTTAATAAAATACTTTTTTATTCATCCACTCATTTTTAAATAAATCTATATTATATAAAACGCTAATGCGTATGTATCAATAAAACCGATGATATTTCTTTTCTCGCGTTGGCAACAGTTTTCATTTTTAATTGATTGGATTCGGCGCGCAAGAGCACGTACTGAGCAACCAGATAACAATAACCAGAGTGAGCATTATCAGGTTGTTCAATTCAGATTCATGCACTAAAAACATGACAATATTTAATTTAAACTCAATTAGGAATTAATTAATTAATTGAAGTGAGAATGCTTTAAAAGGCCGCTGTTGAATTGACATTTTTTTACTGGGAGCTACCTAAACGTCTAAAAAACGTTTAAGTGTTTGTATTGAATGAATGCGCGCAAGAGCACGTAGTGAGCATCATATGGCTAATCTATATTATATAAAACGCTAATACGTTTTAATTGATAGGCTTCGGCGAGCAAGAGCATCTAGGGAGCATCATATGTCTAATCGGGTGAATTCTCACCGAATAATCAAGAAAATTCTCACAAAATTATCTTCATCGAAGCCGATGCTTTACATCCGGCGTTCAGTACTATTACATATTGTTTTACAACACATGGTTTTAGCCCTTTGGTGGGAAAGACTTTAAAAC